CAAACCCAAATCCAGATCACCCGCCAACCACGCACTAGGAATGTGTCCTATGGTAGAAAACAACCCAAAAAGGTACAGACACTCTATTATAATGATATTATTTATCCCATGGGAGGTTCCTAAGCATGTCAGAATTAGTGTTGGACATTAACGACAAGAGAAGTCGCAGCTGATACCTACTGGACTGAAGCAGAATAAATATTTCGTTTTTGAAAACAGTAACAATATCAAAAGCCGACGCAATGGTCAGGTCGCTTTTGGGGTGATTGCGGTGCCTGGAAGACTGGTGTCACTAACAAATCGTACGTGCTTCGTGGCGAACTAACAAAACTGACACATAGTCAGGGACAATATGGACTCATGAAAGGACCGATGGTGGATGGAAAAAGCAGCTGGCGACATTGCGTTTACATATCGACTGGGTGAGACCAAGAAGATCTATGACGTGACAGGCATTGGCTTTGATGGATACTTTCATGGTCGGATTGTGCCACTTTTGCAGGAAAACCTGAACACTCAGTAGAAGACATCTATCTCCGGGCTGACATCATGGACAAACAACAACTCTGAATGTTTGAACGGAGTCCTGAAACACGCAGTCAACTGGAAACAACAGCCACTGACAGACTTTGTGGACACACTTTATGAAGTTGTTACAGGGCAATAGTGGCCTAATGTCCTGTCTTGTTGTGCATTTGCGTGAGTGCACTTTTAAGTCTTTTTAAGACTTGGAGATGGGTTTGGTTGGACAGGGAATCTACAAACTGACAGAGAACTGTAGACACTTTGCTGTTCCCATTGCCATCTGGAATAACAAAACCACAGAGCAACAACGACGACACTTCCATCATTTCCTGCAGGCTATCCTGAAGAACAATTCTAGATTGGTTACTTCAACTGATGAGCAGACGACAGTGATTGGTCCAGGAATTGCAGGTGGAACGAAACCAGGGCAGAAGAAGAGGAAGAGAAATGCCAAGACAACTCATTGACTGTGACAAGATGGTTTGGTCTTGTACTCAAGAATTTTCTTTTCCGAATCGAGTACGGTACCGGTTTGAATGGTCTTCGAAAGTGGGGGAACAGAATCTGGAACTTGAGGATTCTCGAATAAAAATCATTAGCAGATTTCGACATTGTAAACAAAATGCAAATTTTTATATTTCACATCTGAGATATCAGCTTAGCATATATTTCACGTGTGAAATATAAGGATTTATTTTACTGGAAGTGCAATGCTAAAACAACTCCTAGTATGGTATAAAAAGATAATATACCGAGAGTCTTTTCACCGAAAATATTCCGTAGCATCACATAGCCCATCGCGTTTCTATTATAAAAAAATACACATGGGTAGAAGACATACAAGCAATCGGGTTAGGGGAAAAAGAGAAATATCGAAACGCCCTTTTTACTGAGTAAGGTCTATACTACGAACTTTTTAATAACTGAAGATAAGATCAGGCAAGATAAGATAAGATAAGATGAGATTCCTGCGGCGACAAGGTCGTGTTTACATGCAATCTGGGAAGGCAGCACATTATAAAACTAAACAGGTTGATAAGAAAGGCATCAAGAACAATTGGTAGAGACCTAAGTAACTTTGAATATCTGCACAAGACAAACGTTCTAAAACAGGCGGAAATAATGCTTAGCGACCATAGCCACCCACTGACATCGGAATTTCAACTATCGACCCGCAGTAAACGATGCATTTCCAAAAAAGCAAGAACAGACAGATATAGAAATGCA